CCTTCATCATTTTAGGTAGGATCATAAACAGCCTGTCATGTGACTGTTTAACTTCTCTTACTCCTCCCCTTCTATCTGCCTTCCTATATTCTCTCCGGGTGTGAATGGTATCAGTGCTCCTCAATCCAAGGGTCAGGAAGGGACCTCACCCCCTTCTCAGTTCATGCTGATGCACTGTGGTCCCCATTCTTTACAACCCAGAACTGGTGTACAGGATTGACTCCCACATTTTCCCATGTCTTCTGAGACTATGCCATCTTGAAGCATCTAAGGGCCAACATGGAAAGTTCCCATCCTGGCGAGATGGAGTTGTGGTGTCTGTGGGAAGGTGAGGTTGCAAAGCTCTTAAGGGACTTGGAAAAACTGGAGATGCTTGTGACCTTCAAGTAAAGAGATGACCTCTCCATACCTAGCAGGGGTGGAGAGACTCGTTCTTTAGAGCAATAATTTAGCAAACTCCAAGAATGCTACCTGAAGGGTTTGTCCAGTAAAACAATAGGGATTATCATTTTGTTAAGTTTGTTCATCATCTAATTCCTGACTTGTAGCCCAGTGTTATCAGGGAGGGGCTGAGCCCCGAGGGGACTCCCTCATTTCTCCAGTGACACAATTTTAAGTCTTGTTACCATGCAGGAACCCACTTCCCAACCGCCACTGTCCTGTAGGGAAGTGTAGGATATGGCTTCAGCTCTGCTCATTGCTTCTGGTCCTTCTTCTCTTTCTGGTCCACTGTGATACTTACTTTGTTTTTGAGCCCAATTATTTCTTTTGGATTCTCTCTCTTTTTAAATCTATCATTGCTATGTGCAAGGGGGAGAATTTATTATGTCATCTGACAAGAAGTCTGAGGTTCTGAAGTGGGTTTTCTGTACTGCCATCTTAAAGCAGATGCATAAATGTCAGGGTACTTTAAAAATCTGTCCTTGAATTAAATAAGACTTGGGAGTGATGTACCTGATTGCTCTGACTGCATTATGCCACTCACTCACAGCAAAGGCCAGTATAGGAAGCAACTCAGTGAAAATCTTTGCTCTGCTTCAGAGTTGACGAGGGCATTGTTCTTTACATACTGCCTTTGGAAAAAAATGAGGTTTCACGGGAGAGATCTCATGTCGGCATGAGGAATAATTAAGCTTCTCTTAGGGGACAAGAATACTGTGAATCATAATTGATGTTTCCCTTTTTCTACTGGTCTTAGGATGCTCACCGTCAAATTGGTGACCCACATGTACAAGAACAGGCAGCCTTTTTAGTGATGATCTGTCTTCAACTTGTTTCCTGCCCTTATTTTAAAATATATTGAGTCTAGAAATATATATATTATTGCATTGTATGAATTTATCTTAAAATCCTTTTTGCATGAAGGCCTAGTATCATCTAATGAAAACAGCTTCATCTTATTTTCCCAAGTGGACCTGGGAGAGGCTGTGTGTGTTAGGCCACTGACTCCAGGTATGGTGCTGGTTAATTAGTGTTATAAACATAGACACAGCCCCTTCCTCAATCTGCCTCCCACTCCTCAAGGAAGGGAGGCTGGACTCTGGCTTAAACAGGCCAGGCAGCCATTTGGCCTACCCACCCCGGTCCCTAACCTGTCACCCCCCCCATATCGCCTGCCTTCTCCCCCCATCACATTATCCCCCCACCCCCACCCCGGGGAGCCTCTCCCTGTCCCCTCCCACTCTCCTCCCCCTGCGCGGCCTCCCTTCTCCCTGTATCACGCCCCCCCCCCATTCCCTCGGCGTGGCCTCCCTTCTCCATCCATCAGCCCCCCGCGGCCTCCCTTCTCCCTCCGTCGCCCGCCTCCCCGCGG